CTCACGGGCTCAAGAATGAGAGCCCGATGGCCCTCTCGCCACAAGCATACGCATTTTTCCACCCTCAAAACACGCAACAGCCGAGCATGAGCCCCCCGTGTCATTCATCAGATTGCTCGTCATTGGTTGTTTCTGCAACGGTGAAATCTACTCCAGCGTTCGAAAGCGTAGTATCAGGTGGGAATCGATTAGAAACCAGTTGTCTTGCTGGGATTCCATTCAGTTTTTGGTTCACAAGTCTCGTAATGATGGGGATTTTACTATGTTGTGGTCCTAACTTGCACCGAGCTAATCCCGAGCAGCCAGAGGCATGGAATGTCTATAGCAGCTAATCAACTTCTTGCTCACTTTATTTGGTTTGAATTATTAGATTGTATTTATGGAGTTAGTCATCTATCTACCCTCGGTCCATTCAGTTATGAATCTACAGCAGTGAGAAAACTGTTATAACGTATGGATGTTTAGCGTCTGTTTATTTTTCATCATTTCAGCATAAAAATGAGAATAGTTACCGTTATATTCAAAGTTGTGGGGCCCACCAAGAGAGAAACAAGTCAAAAATGGTGANATTTCAGCATAAAAATGAGAATTGTTACCGTTATATTCAAAGTTGTGGGATCCACCAAGAGAGAAACAAGTCAACAATGGTGGCCGTAGCACTGTGCAACGGTCCTAATTATTCTAAACTGGGCAAAAAAAAGAGAAACAAACGGGTGCTTAGTTATAAAAAGAAACACTATCTGGTAATTCTAATACCTACATTTCAGACAAGAAGCTTGTTGGAAATGAAGACGATATTAGATTACTCCGGTACCATCTTGTTGAAGAAAATATGAGATTATATGCACAATATGAAGTAATTGATCACAAAGGAGTATCAACATAAAAAAGGCCAACTTGTTCCATCCTATAAAATTTCCTCACATATAAAAATAGCTTGAAGATTAGGGATGACAACGGGACGGGTCGGGGCGGGATTGGGGCAGCCCCGCCAAGCCAAGCCAAGCAATTCCCCGCCCC